ATATATAATATAATATAAAAAATGTAAAAAAGGAAATATAGTTGATTTAATTTTTTTTTATTTGTTCATTCATTATTTTATTTATTTATTTTGTCTTTCTTTTATTTATAGCTACCAATTCCCAGAGATCCTTTCCATGAAAAGCAAATTTTTCTGCAACTTGACACTAATAATTATCCATCATTGAAGATTCTCAACAACTCAAATAATATAATGATAAAAAATATTCTCACACAAATCAACCTCTCCTCATTGGTGGATTCTTGCAAAAAAATTAAACTATTGATTGAGTTTTTTTTTTTTTTCCAGTGCAGACAGTGTGAATGGATATTTTTGTTGTGAATGAAAGTCACATCATTCTAAGAGTTTTATAATAAATATTTGTATTACTCATGATGATGTTAATCATCATTGTAACCAGAGTTCTTTTTATAAGAAAAATCAACATATTCACTTTAATATGATAATAATAATAATTAACAATAATAAACAATAAATAAATAAAAGATGTTAAAGAAAAATATACATTACAACTAGATGACTCCATAAAATGGTCTTATTGTTTAATAAAAAATGGGAATAAAAGGAAAAGAAAAAAAAGATTGTTTTGCACTTGTACAACCCAGATATTATTGTTATTACAGTTATATATATATTCGAATCGTGTAACCAAACTGTTTCAACAATAGCCGATCGGTTACACTTATGTTCGGTGCACTTATTGACCACCCTTGAAATTTTGACAGCTAATAATTGTCACATCTTAGAGTGAAGAATCATTTCAGAACTGCTCCTAACACTTAAATTATTGATTGAAAAATTCAAATGCCTACCATGCTAGATGTCAACAGTTCAATTAGCACTTGAAGAAACTAGTAATTAATTTTTGCAAGAATTTTTAAAGAATGAACTATTAGGAAAATTACCACAAGTAGAATTTTGCATGAAATTTGGAATTCTGCATAGCTTCCAAACAGAAGGAATGATTGTGAACTATTTAGTACCATTTTAAAAGAAATTATTGAAGAAGGATGCAAACTTTACTGCAAGATATGACCAAGGTATTTGTTTTCCAATAGCTTTATAAAATTGTTTATGACAATAAAGTTATGTTATTTTACTGCAGGATGTAAATTAGTAAGAGAAACATATATGTGAGCCTTGTTGCTAGACCCTGTGACATTGTATGCACTTTGAGTGTTTAATAGTGCTATATTGAGGTGCAGTTTACTGAATTAAACTGATTTATCAATAACTTTTTTTTTATAAGAATTATTAATTTTAACAAAGGTTGTATATAGTAACACTATAGATGAGACTTCCGAAGAATGTCAACAAAGACTTAATTGTGAACAACAACAGTGTTATCGTAAAAACAAAAGAAATATGGAATCTGAAGGCTCTACGGGACTTGACCAATTTTTAGATCCAAGTTTTAGCATTACCTCAGAAGATAACGTGACTACCTCCACTGAGCAAGAAGTAGTTATTCCTCTGACTACTGTTCCTTTTAAAACATTAAAAACATGTATTTATTCATGGTCTTCACAAGGTTTAGACTGCCACTCTCTGGGAAGCATGAATCATAGATGTAATTGTTGTGGAGCGCTGTTGTGGATAGATGAAAGAAAAACAGGCACATCTATGCGATAACCAGTTTTCACAACATGTGTGTCAAAGGCAGGGTTTCTCTCCTTCTTATTAAGGAATTACCATATCCTCTCAACACTCTTCTTACTAGAACAGATCCAAGTGTGCATTTATTTAGGAAAAATATTAGGTTGTATAATTCAGCTTTGACTTTTACGTCTATGGGTGCAAAGGTTGATCATAGTATAACAGGAACAAGTGGCATTTACAGCTTTTGTGTTCATGGTGAAATGTATTATAGCATAGGCACAATACTTCCTGATAATGAAGTTTACCCTCAGTTTGCTCAAATATATGTGTATGATACTGAGCATGAATTGCAAAACAGAATGAATGTAATGCCTAATCTTG